TTTGGCGAATTTTTATTTTGACCTACTTTTTGGACACGCCATAACTTTGGAACCGGAAGTCGGATCGAAATTTGGTTTGCAGATTCGGATTTCTGAGAAAATTCTATTCTTAATTCATAACTCAAACATTAAATTTGGAGAACTTTTTTTTTGACCTACTTTTCGGACACCATATCTCAAAACTGGGGCAAAATACTTTCTGACGGCAAAAGGCTAACACTATTAGCACACTCTTGGCTACATGTATACAAAATTTCGAAGAATATAATTAATTTGTAGTGTCAGAATCGCAAAAATAATGAAAAACTTTGAATTTGACCTAGATTTTGACCTAGGCATTTTGTTGTCCAAATTTTAAAGCTAGATGGCTTTTGAGGTCCCATTCTTTTAAAAGCTTTCATTATATTTAGCTGAACTCAGTCTATATTTCGTATTTTTGACTTCAAAAAAATCTTTTTTTCCAATTGACTTAAGGACAGGGTGCATGTTGGGAAATTTTCTGCATTCCTCAATTGAATCACATGTTATTTTTCAAACAAGAATAACTCCTTCCCCATATTGTCTACATGTTCCAAGTTTGCACAAAGAGTGCACTTATGTGCCTAGAAAAGCCTTGTGAGAAGGTTTGTTTTGTAAAATGTATGAAAAATGAGAAAATTAGTTGAAAAAAATTTCTGAAAATTTTCTGATTTTTTTCACTGAATTTTCTTGTTTTTCATACACTTTATCAAAACATTCTTCTCACAAGTCTTTTCTAGGCACATAAGTGCACTCTTTGTGCAAAACTGGAAGATATAGGCAATGTGGGGAAGGAGTGATTCTTGTTTGAAAAATAACATGTGACTCAATTGAGGGATGCAGAAAATTTCCCATCATGCACCCTGACCTTAAAGTAATGTGGAATGGATGAAATGTTAGTTCAACCTACATATGAATAAGAAAAACTGAATCCCAAAGCACATTGGTACATATAAACATCGTTTTTACTGACCTTGGTTGTGTTTTGACTTCACAATTCAGCGTTTTCAACAGAAATAAATTTGCTCACACTTGCACATTGTTTGGGATTCCCTAGTCAAATGTCATGTGACTAATAATCAGAACGAGGCTATGACCTGTGAGCTATTCCAATTGAGAGGTTAGGAGAATTTTTTCATATTCTAAGTTCCACTTATTTCTGACGGTTTTCTATACAATCACTGAATCTCTTTCTTGCAAAAGAATAACTATTATATCAGGAACACATAATTAATAAAACATTATGTAATCACTATGTACAGAACACGAAAATCACTCTTTTCAAAAGTAGGTCACATTTTCTCCCAAGTTTTATATGCAATATTGCTCTGAACGAAATGCAAGAAAATGTGTAAACAAACATACTTTGGTGACGTCATCAACTTGAGTGCAAAATTCGAAGTGGACGATGTGAAATCAAATTCAATGTACCCACTTCAATATGAGAAATCTCCGCTATCCTTGAGTAATATGAGCTGAAGTTACCCCAGTAGCAAGGTAAGACATTGCTCTTCGTGTGATATTCAATAGATTTTGCTAAAAATGCCTTAAACGAAGGCCATATCACTTTAACATGGGCACCAAATTTAGCAATTTTTGAGCTTTCAAAACGCCATAACTTCCGAACCGGAAGTCCGATCCAAATTTGATTTGCAGATTCGGATTCCTGAGATCATTCTACACTTATTTCATAACTCACATGTTGAATTTGGAGAACTTTTTGTTCTGACCTACTTTCCGGACGCCATATCTCAAAATCGGTAACAGTAATCAAAAATCTGATGGCACACTTATGAAAGGGCTGTTTCTAAGCTACATGATGAAAAAAAGACAAAGTTGTTTTGATAAATAACGACGAAGATAATAGACAGAAGGTTGAAAATTTAAGATTTGACCTAGTTCTTGACCTTTGACCTAGATAAAAATTTGACCCAATTTCCGAGGAACTAGATACTGGAACTGAATTGACCATATACAGGACTTGACTCAATGTCTTCTAGTTATTGAGAAAACGTGTAGAGAAAAATAACTAGATTTTGGAAATTGAACGAGTTCAATTTCAGACTCCAGATCTAGACTTTTTTTAGCCTAGTCATCCAGAATAAGCCAAGTCATCCAAAATAAGCTAAGTCATCCAGCAAAAGATGGATGGATAAAAAAGGAAGGAAGGATAGGATAGAATAGAAAGGAACGATAGGATAGAATAGTAAAGAAGGATAGAATAGAATAGGAAGAAGGGATAGAATAGGAAGGATAGGAAGGAGAGGATACGAAGCAAGGGTAGATAGGAAGGATAGGATAAGATCAGAAAGGAAGGATGGATGCATTTTTCAATATTTTCTTCTCTACTCTTGAATTTCTATCAGGATACCATCAGATTGATTTTTCTTGAAATTTCAAAATGCCATAAGTTCCGAACCGGAAGTCAGATCGGAATTTGATTTACAGATTCGGATTCCTGACAAAATTCTACCCCTAATTCATAACTCATACGTTAAATTTGGAGATTTTTTATTTTGACCTACTTTTCAGACACGCCATAACTTCCGAACCGGAAGTCGGATCGAAATTTGGTTTGCAGATTCGGATTCCTGAGACAATTCTATACTTAATTCATAACTCAAACGTCAAATTTGGAGAACTTTTTATTTTGACCTACTTTTCGGACACCATATCTCAAAAGTGGGTCAAAATACTTTCTGACGGCAAAAGGCTAACGCTATAAGCACACTCTTGGCTACATGTATACACAATTTCGAGGAATATAATTAAAGTGTAGTGTCAGAATCGCAAAAATAAGGATAAACTATGAATTTGACCTAGATTTTGACCTAGGGATTTTGGTGTCCAAATTTTGAAGTTAGGTAGCCTTCGAGGTTCCCTTCTTTCATAGGCTTTCATTATTTTAAGCTGTACTTAGTCTATATCTCGTATTTTACACTTCAAAAAATCCTTTTTCCCATTGACATAACATGGGGCACCAAATTTAGCGATTTTTGAGCTTTCAAAATGTCATAACTTCCGAACTGGAAATCGGATCGAAATTTGGTTTGCAGATTCGGATTTCTGAGAAAATTCTATACTTAGTTCATAACTCACACGTTAAATTTGGAGAATTTTTTATTTTGACCTACTTTTCGGACACCATATCTCAAAAGTGGGGCAAAATACTTCCTGACGGCAAAAGGCTAACACTATTAGCGCACTCTTGGCTACATGTATACAAAATTTCGAAAAATATAATTTATCTGTAGTGTCAGAATAGCAAAAATAAGGAAAAACTTTGAATTTGACCTAGATTTTGACCTAGGCATTTTGGTGTCCAAATTTTGAAGCTAGATGGCTTTTGAGGTCCCCTTCTTTTAAAAGCTTTCATTATATTTAGCTGAACTCAGTCTATATTTCGTATTTTGCACTTCAAAAAAATCTTTTTTCCCATTGACTTAACATGGGCACCAAATTTATCGATTTTTGAGCTTTCAAAACGCCATAACTTCCGAACCGGAAGTCGGATTCGAATTTGAATTTCAGATTCGGAATCCTGAGAAAATTTCCTATAAGACCAATATCCTAGACATTTGATTCGGAGAATTTTTTTTTGGACCTCGTTTTCGGACACTGATATCTCGAAATCGGTTTGAGATATCAACAAACTAAATCGACCCTAGATTTCCTACTTTTTTATGAGGAACACAATGAAAAAAATTCGGATCAAAAATATTGAAGGATGACCGAGAAAATCGAATAAAGTGACAAAGTACTGGATTTGACCTAGTTCTCGACCTTTGACCTAGATAAAAATTTTACCAAATTTCCGAGGAACTAGATTCTGGACCTAAATTGACCAAATGACTGACTTTACTGAAAACCTTGTCGTTATTGAGAAAACTGGGTTAGAATAAGAATAAAAAGAATAATAAGAAGAATAAGAAAACTGACGAAAACAATAGACTCCAGATTTCATCTGGAGTCTAATAATAAAGAAGAAGAAGAAGAAGAAGAATACTGGCAAAAGTAATAGACTCCAGATTTACATCTGGAGTCTAATAATAAAAGGTAAGTCTGCATGTTCAGAATTTTGCTGCAATCCTCAGTTGATGTTATTTTTCAAATAGGAATCACTCCTTCCCCACATTGTCTTTCAGTTTTGCACAAAGAGTAATTTCCTATTGAAAGCCCATGTACAGATTAACCTTAATCACATCGAGATCACATACATATTACAGTGAGCCGCTTGTGACATCTTTTATTCAAGTAAAAGTGTAAAATTCATTTTGCATGGCGAGATTACAACTTCATGTTTCATTTTATTGGTATATGCAAATTATGATTTTCCATCAAAAAATAAAAAAGTTATAATATTTTTTTACAAGTGGTGCTTTTTGGCTCAACCTGTATATAACTTTTATTTAGTTGCCGGGTAGTTGGTCAAAACATCTATATCTGATGTCCTTCATCGTTTTAGAATGCATACCCCCTTATGCTTGGTAGATGTTCGATCACAGGTCTCGCAACAGAAAAATCTCTTAGTAATTATCTTGCTCAGTAATACCACTCAATAAAACCTCTCTCAGTGAACACCAATTCTATCTCAGTGAACACCTCTCATGGAACACATCTAAGTAAAGACTACTTGGTGAACACCCATCTAAGCAAAACCTCTAAGTGATCCTCTCTTTCAGTAAATGCCACTCTCAGTAAACAACTCTCAGTGAATACCTGCCTCACTAAACAATCTTAGTGGACAGATCTATCAGTGAACACCTCTCCTGGTAAGCTTCAGTGAAAACCTCTCAATGAACACCTTCCAGTAAACACCCTACCCAGAGAACCTCTCTCTCAGTAAACACAATTGCTTTAGTATACTCTATTAATTTCTGTATAAAGTCCTCTGCAGTAAACACCTACTTCAGTGAACAATGGTATTTACTGCACATATATTTTACTGTACAAATGATGCATATGCATATTGTTTCAGATTGTCCACCTGAACCATCCAGGTTAAAAGATCCATAAGCTGTGCAATACATCTGCATTATCTGCATTAGACACGAAAATACAATGGTCATGGAGCAACCTTCACCGAAGAAAGAGTGCACTGATGTAATACCTCAAAATGATGACCAAACTGACATTACAGAAAAGGATGAGAACACTAACATCATTTCACAAAGCAATGATAAAAGTAACAGTGTTCCCGAAAACATTAAAAATGATTGTAATGAAAATGATAGATTGATAGTTTCCAAAAATGAGGAAGACATTGACTGTATATCTAAAAATGATCAAAATGAAAAGGATGGACGGAATGTTTCCAAATATGAGGAAGACAATGACTGTATATCCAAAAATGATCAGAATGAAAAGGATGGATGGAATGTTTCCAAATATGAGGAAGACAATGACTGTATATCCAAAAATGATCAAAAGAACTGTGAAGATGGATTGAGTTTTTCTCTAAAAGATGGGGATGGTGACTGCCACATTTCTGAAAATGATCAAAATAGTGACAATATTAATGGATATATTTCCCAAAGTGATGAGGAAAATGACAGTGCTTCAGGAAATGATAAATGTAATACTGACCTTCTCAAAAGTAATAATCCAGGTATCTCTGAAGGTAAACAAATTGTTGTATCACTCTGCCCAATGGAGATACAAAAATGGAGGAGATATCACAGGATATCCTCAACAGGGAATGACACTAACATTGCCACATTTTCGTGTCCTGTATTTAAGTGCAAGAACATACATAATCCAAAGGAAAGATGCTTGAATTGTAAAACACATTTTACAAAGAGATCTTCAATGTCATTTAATTCGAGGCTTCCAACTTGTACTAAAGGAGACAAGCAAACACAGTCCAACATGCTGTCCTATAGAGGGGACAACAGGTTTAAATGTGAACCTTACTCAAGCAAATTTAAAACATTTGAATCTTTAAAGACCCATAAGCAACAAGTGAAACATGGTAAACTTAAATGTGAAATATGTTTTAAAGTGTTTGACAAGAAATTTGATTACACGGTTCACATGCGTGTCCACACTGGGGACAAATGGAACGAGAGGGAGAAACCATTCAACTGTAATATTTGTTCAAAAGGATTCAGTACAAAGTTTTATCTTGTTTTACACATGAAATCTCACACTGGACAACAAAGTAGTTTTAAGTGTGACATTTGTATGAGAGAATGCTGTACAAACTCGAGACTTCTCAACCATATGCGGATCCACACGGGAGCAAGACCTTTTCAATGTAAAATATGTTTTGCTGGATTCGCACAAAAATATAATCTTAACGATCATATGAATACCCACTTAAGGGAAAAGACATGCAAATGTGAAATATGCTTAAAAACATTCACAACAAAAAGGCTTTTGAAAACTCACTTACTCACACACAGTGACGAAAGACCATTCAAATGTGACATGTGCAGTAAAGCATTTAAACTCAATGCAAAACTCCAGCGTCACAAAATGGTTCACACAGGAGAAAAACCGTTCAAATGCCAAATCTGTTCAAAACGTTATACTGTGAAAGCATATTTGATAAATCATTCTAAGATTCACACTGGAGAGACCAGAGAATATTTCAATTGTGCCACATGTTCCAAGTCTTTTACTGAAAAAAGCAACTTGAAGAGGCATATCAGACTCCACACTGGAGAAAAACACCATGAATGCGAAATCTGCCCCAAGAAGTTCAATAGCAAAACAGACTTGATTCAACATGAAAACTCTCACAAAGGTATCAAACCCTACAAATGCAATTTGTGCCCCAAGGCGTATTCACACACTGGATCTCTTAGTCAACACAAACTAACCCATGCTCCAGCTATACAATGTGACATCTGCAACGAGACATTTCCATCAAGGTTTACATTCAATGGACACATGAAGCGTATTCACAATCGATAAGAATATTTATCACTACTACCTTGGTTATATCGCTTAGGGAATTAATCTGTTTAGATTAAATTATTCAGGAACTGTTTATTCAGCTCAGCAGTCTTGAACTAGGTCTCAATTACCTTTGTATTTAAACACTTCAGGAACAGTTCATGAACTAAAGCAAGGGGAACTTGAACCACAAAAGGAAGATAGGTTGGAACATTATGTCCTTATTAAGTCAGATGTCAAAAATCAGGAATTTCATGTGTGGCAATTTTGCTTGCCAAGAATGGTTAATTTACAACATCAGAATGGAGCAACGGCATATTTTTACAATATTAATGATCTGGATTATTAGGGAGTTTACGGTTTCATTATTTCCACTGTTGGATATCAATCTAAAGTTTTACCTTATGTTTTTAATTTCAAGATAGATCCTCATTTTTCGGGTTAAAGTCATGAGAATAAGTTTTTCTAAGAAATATCAATAAAACCTGATTATTTTACATTTCATCCTAAGAAAATTACCTGCACCATGCACATGATGTAACAGGTAAATCATTTGCATGTAACACTCGATTCTGTTTAACTGCAAGCTAAGAGTTAACAAACATGCAAAATCTCTCCACCTGCCATTTGTTACAGTGGCCAAATGTGGCTATGTAGTATGTTACCACTTCTGGTAGTGACATAATAAAAAGTAGAAAGTCCTTGATTAGAATGGTATCCCTTTCATGGGCATAAAATATAGATGTCCCTACCTGTTCTCAACCATAAGATGTGCCCATATGCCTCCCCGTCTAGGTAGGTCTGTGGGGGGCCGGCCAACATATTGAGGGCAGGTGTCTGGCAGGGGAGTGGTTGGCGGACGTGTTGGAGCAGGTGTGGTAACATTATACATCTCTGAAAATATATTGTTGAATAAGATAGTTCCATAAGTTCAGAAATTTCAATGGATTCCTCATTGGAGTCCAAATTTTTTCAGGGACACATAACTCACTCCATACATGTACAAGTTAAGTTAAACATTGATTTATATTCCAGATACATAAAGCAGAAAATTTAGTGACCTATATTTTTGGTACTTTTAAAAAGTAGGTCACTAGCTGAACGAATGCAGGTGGTGTGAAAAATAGCTGAACTATCTTGTATAATGTACCTATATCATATCATGTTTGAATAAATAAATATTTGAAACAAATAATAAGTTTAATACAACTATTGGAGATCACATCCTATCACATTGTCATGAAAAGCCATTGCAACACACAAAATGGTAACATTTCAAAATTTATCAAAATATAAAAAATCAACAAAAAAACTGTTTTAAAATGTATTTCAAAATATAAGCAATATTGCATGTGAAACAAACCACATAAGTTTTTAATAAAGAAGAGATGTTATTTTTCTGTGGTGCTGCAAAAAGTAACTCACACAGTCAACTCACTCAGTCAACTCACTCAGTCAACTCACACAGCTTCTATTGAATAAATATCAAGCTGAGAAGATTGCAGAAGTTAAGAGATTTGGTATCAGGGTGTGCATGGTTTTCAAACAATTTGTTTAATAGAAATTAACAATGAAATGGGTAGAAGGGTCCCATATACATGTACCCCTTTTTAAATTAGTTTCCCAAAATTCAACCTACCACAGTAAGGTATAGCACAATATTCCCATCTTTGTTGCTCATCCATGGTGTAACACCAAGGGGCTTTGTCGCCATCAGGGTTGCGGCAATAGTTGCTAGCCTCTGCTAAGGTATTATCAGGGAAGTCTGCGGGATTACGTCTGGTATGTTTATGTGGAGTCTAAAATTATATTAACATTAGGAGTGATGATTCATATGTAAAAATGTTTTCAAAATTTTACCAATGTCCTGGTTTGTACATTTATATGAATGATACTACAATAAGAAAAGATCATCAATGTTTATAAAATTCAAAACAAATCTTGAAATCTTTTTGGCTCGCTCAAGTTATGCCACAATTGCACATCCCTGACTGAAAGCTGGCTACGTCCCTGTATGTGAGAACTCTAGTCTTGTATTTTGTGAGAACATTTACATTATACTACAATATTGACATCTTTACTTAGTCAGTAAGAGGCTATTATACATGTACCTGACTATCCCACCTCTGGCATTTCTTCCCAGTTACAGTCTCACTAGTTCTGCCCTGGAACTCTGCCCCCTGTGGGCTCTTCTTACATTCTATAAACATTAAACAAATACAGACATTCTAAATTATGATAACTGCATTAGCTATCTATCTTACAAGTTCTGTCCTGACATATATTGTATGTGACCCCTTCTTACATGTCTTACATTCCATAACTAACACAGACATCAAACAGATGGCCCTATTAAAATATTCATTGATTTCCAATCAGAGTGAAAGAGTATGGAGAGGGGGTTTGGACAAGACTACAGTATATATAGCAAGTAAAATGAATAACTTGAGAGAAATACAGGTACATGTACATGTGATTACAATTGTCTTTTTGAAGTTAAATGTTGTTTACCGGTATATTGTACACTGTAGTGGCCAATATGTCATTATTATTCACTGATATCAGAGAGACAATAAAGGAAATATCAAAAAACATACCACAAAAAGGCACTTCACAGTAATCCCAAACTGGCTCTGGAGCTGTTGTATAACAGAAGGGGCCCTCGGATCTTAACTCAGGGTTCCTACAGAAGTTTGATGCTTCATTCAGAGTGTTGTCAGGAAATCTTGATGCATCAGTGTTTGGATGTGTATGGGGGGTCTGTGTGTCCCATCGTTGACAGGTGAAGCCTTGTTTGGTGCTTGCTACAGACCCCTTGTATTCAGTGCCAAGATTTGTCAGTTTACATTCTGAAATAAAGTCACGAGTTTTACAAAAGATCATTATACAAGTCAGGCCCGTAGCCAGGATTTCCCAAGGGGGGTTCACTTTTTGAAAATTTCAAGGGGGTTCACTTTTGAAAATTTTGACAAAAATGGCCAATATCACTTAAAATGTGCTCAGAATGATGAAAAACTGCATGATTTTGAAAGAATTTTTGGCCAGGGGGGGGGGGTTCGCTCGGACCCATCGAACCCCCCCCCTGGCTACGGGCCTGCAAGTGCCAAACAGAGTGCATGCAATAGAGCAAGAAATATGTAGAAAATAAGGGAGCATCGCCGGTTAGAGTGTACTCAATATGAACATGAGGCCAAGTATGATACATGTATACACAGATCTACAAAGTATGGTCATATTACTTACAATGCATACATGTACACTGTATATTACAAAACAGAATCAGGCTTTTACATGCTATCCAGGGGGCTTTTTCTTGCCAAACTTATGTAGGGGGCAGGTAGGGGGTGTACAACAAAATAGAAAAGTATTTGCTCACCACACATTGGTATTGCACAGTACTCCCATTTGGTCTTTGTATCGGTAGTAAAGCACCATGGACCACTTTGTTTATTTTCTGGGTTGCGGCAATAATTCATTGCATCCTCTACTGATTGGTCAGGGAATTGATCACCCGTGTAGCGGTAATGGGTATGTGGCGTTTGAGACATCCAGCTCTGGCATTGTTTCCCAGTGGCTGTTTGTGATACCTTCCCCTTGTAGTCCTTGCCATTGACTGTCACTTTACATTCTAGAGAAATCAGCCAAAACAAAGGAGAAACATTATAAACCAACACAACACAACAAACCAAAACACAACACAACATAAATATTAAAGCTATGGATCGTAAACCAAGTGTCAAACCAAGGTGAAAAAAATGTTTGTTAGATAAAACATATTTATATTTGGAAAGTTTGATTGCAACAGTATATACATCTGATATTGTAAAGTCAATAGAGCCTGCCACATGAATGGGTCAGTCCTATAGTTTCATATCAGGCACTTTGTATTCTAATAAATTAAAACCAGTAAATTAATGTTTTAACGACTGTTTATATAGGTTGTTTTAAGGTCAACATCATGTTACTTAATCTTGTCAAATTTTTCAGATGTTCTTTTGTGTCTTGAAATAAATAAGTTTTAAACCGTTTTGTATTTTATAGAAAATCCATCTGCCGAGAATTTCCATGGTTGTATTCAACAATAATTAATGAATTAATAATATATTTCAAAATTCAATACGGATATTTACACATGGTTGAATGCATCGTTTAAAATCAAAATATTCATATTGTAATGACATTTCCTCAAAGTTTTGTTTCCTGACCACTGTATTGTTTTGCATAACTAACTTAACACATGGGCTTTCAATAAAATAAAAGCCCTTGCTTAACCATGCATTGTTACACCGGTAACTAACCTTTCGTCACATCAGGGAGGATAGGAGTTGTTGACACTGGCAGTCCAGTTGAAGGCACCCCTGAAGTGCAAATAGTGGAACAATATATACATGTAAATATATGTCATATTGAACCAATCCAGAAAATCTTGCTACCTTTTGGTAATGATGTCATTATAAACATTTCAATATATTACTTATTGCTAATTTTCAAAAGTTTCTAACAATTTTGCTACTCGCAAAGTATGACATCATACATTGTAAATCTACCAAAAATCCCTAGGTTCCTTATTTCACCAAAATGGGTCATGGTTTATTGGAGAGGTTATCAAGAATGAACTTGATTGATGCAAAAGCTTTCATTTGAACTATGGAAGAGACCTTCAAACTTGAAGATTCTGAAAAAATTACATGCAATAATTCAACCCATAGACATATACATGTACAACTATTTTTTATATGTCTGTCCAATTATAGTCACCCACCTGTGGACCATGCCCTGAGTGCAAATGTTGACCTCGTTGTCCCATATTTGGAGAAGTCATGATTGGTTCCAAGTACTAGGTTCTCATGGTAGATTGGGGCATTTATTGTTGTGAACAACTCAGTTTTTCGCACCACACCATCATTGCCTGAATACAAATTTGGAATTGCAAAATACATGTAGTTAAAAACAAACAATTCAACTGGTCATTGTTCTCTAAAATATGTAAATACCAATAAAGCTAATACTGTATAAGTTATCTATATTCTTCTGTTAAAATCCCTATCTTTCATACCTATTATACAAATAGACAAATTAAAATAAAATAATTGAAGAAAAAATGAAATATAAAATACTATACCTCTTGAGTTTGGAATAATTGCTACCTTGGTGTCACCATTCTGGGCATAGTGAATACCTAGTATGTCCCCTGTTAGGACAGCTAAATTTGCAGCCTGGCGGAATATCCCGATTGGTCCAGGTTTTACCTCAGTTGTATAAATCAACTGTAAAACTCTTGGCCCAGAAGCTACAAGTAAATAATTGTTATTAGGTCATAATCAATTATATAAGATCCATTTCAATATTTTACAAGACAAATTGGCTACCATCAATACAAGAAAAATTTAATTTAAGTTTCATCTTTTACTTCTCTATTATGCCTAAGTTTGTAAGGTCGGGTTGGCAACTTGGCTTTCAACATTGAGGGAGACCTATCTATTGCAGCAGTTATTCCTGGCATAACCATTAGCATTTTGTTAACTTGGGCAAAGATCCTGGCATGACCATAGCAGTGCTATCATGAAAACCTGGCGCAACCATAGCCTTTATTTGACCTTTGACATATTTAATCCTGATAGACAGAATGTGTTATTGAATCAAACGTTCTTGAATAAGAACAGAGAATATTTCTAAATCATTAATAATTTCCAGAAACTCTCCATCTAGTCTTATTCCAGAATGTTTGATTAAATAACACATACCGCTTCTATAAGGATTAAGTTACTCGAGTGTCTGGCCAATTCTTGGCTAGATGTTGTAATTCCATCTGGAACACCGTGAACTATTGAAAAATTTCTAGTCCGAGTTCAGTAAATTTAAGTTATATTTTAAAAACCGTCATGTTAATATTTCATGAATTGAAATGGAACTGGCTGGGCTCCTTGATGAAATATTGCATGATTTCGTCAGGACTTCATCTACATGTAAAATTAAACAAAGGCTCCAAGAAAAATTGCGATATTTGGAAACTGGCACATGTCGTTAATGTCTGACATTAGTAACTGGCTATAAATTCTAAGTTAGCAATCCAGAAGATCAGATGTGAACTAATACATTGATCACACTATAATGTGTGTTTTGGATTTTTGGTGAGGTAATGAGACCAAAACTCGCAATTCAAATTGTGAAGTGGAAAAATGGCGGACATTTGATTTCAAATTTTATGATTATGACATGACCCGTATACAGCGACATGACTCACATCCAGCAGAGTAAGAAATAAGCAGGGATTTACATGTATCTTTGGACGAAGGCCACGATATAGTGGCCTTAGAAGAGGGTAAGGATGTCAAAGACTCAAAGGTCATGACAACACTGCAACAGTCGTGCCAAGACCATTGTGCAAGTTAATATGCTCATGGTTGTGACAGGAATAACCATTGCGAAGAACAGCAAATGAATTGAGGCTGTAGCCAAGACCCGGGAGCCAAGACCAACAAAGGGTGGCTGAGAACGGGCCTGAGAGAAAGATGAGATTCTTTCCTCTGGTCTAACTTGATCGAAATCACAGTGTTAAACAGGAATATTGGTTTTATTCTCAGACTGCTCTGGTTAATAAAATCACTTTCATTCACGTACAGTTGGGGACAAAAATAAATGACAGGTCGATTTTCGATCACCATTTCCTAATTATGGTGGTCTGAAAGCCCATAACTTCCAATATTGTCTAGATACATATCCCTTAAAATTTGTATATTTTACATTTTGTATAATCTCATCCACTGATGTATGGCCTCTTGTAAATTCTCTTATTTTTAACATGGGAAATCCTCACTTCAGCAAATCCACCTGTCATTTATTTATGTCCCCAACTGTAAGTTGACATCCCTTATCATTTCTTATTGAACTTCACTTTTTGAATACTCGTTCAAATGACTATATATTGACGTTTGTCAAGCCTAACATATTATCCCAAAATATTCACAAATAACCCTGTAAATGTACAAAAATAGAGAGTTTCTCACATTTCGCTGACTTTTCCAAAACAAATATGGCGGGCTAAAGGGTCAAGGTCACGCTCGCAGGTATTCCCCTTCTGAGTAAAGGGGAATTCCCTTTTCTAAAAGTAAACAAAACCCACGTGATATTTTCGAAAGTGAAACCGGAAAAACTTACTTGTTTTCCTCCAAATATCAATGTAGACGGTCCCGCTTGCTTGGATTCTACGATATTCGAACGCATCAATGACTCCATCACAAGGGAAAATATTATCGGTCATTATATGGATCCAAAGACCACCCACCCTCGGGAGATTCGACATTTCGCGGCCAATCCACAGAGGGCATGGACCTGGGACTGGTGTAGTAACTGGTGGTTCTGTAGGAATAGTTGCTTCGTCTGAAAATTAACATGGGCAATATTAACCTATATGGAGAAAGAACTTCAACAATATGGACAGTACTGTATTGTAACCCCATTCATCTTACTGTTCAAGCTTATGGTAAATTGATTCAAATGGACCATTTTTGTTTTTTTCGGACAAAGTCACTCCTTACCACAATAAGGAACATCGCAATACTGCCATCTTATCTCCTCGTCCATTGTATAACACCATGGTCCCTCAGGTTCATTGTCAGGATTTCTACAATGCAACAATTCAAAATTTGCTACAATATCCATTGCAAGAGTGTACTTAAGTACAGATATCACATACCCCCTCTCTGTTAATATATGATTGACAAGGAGTACAATGAGTTATCTCTTTTATTCAAATCCAATCAGGAACAGTGAGGGTTCAGTAGAAGAGTGACAACTACATGTATGTTCACAGGACACTATATTTTTGTCACGGGTAAATTAACATATATCACAGGGGCATGTATAATCTAGAAAGCCCACGAAACATGAACAGACATGAACGGTGATAGTATCAGATAAAATACCTGCAATAATTGTTCGCATCTGCCAGTGTTTTATCCGGAAAGTTGCTCGGGTCCTTTTTACTGTGTGAATGGGGTGTCTGGGCGTCCCAGCGTTGACATTGGATATCATCGTGGGTCTCAGAAACTCTTCCCATATACTGTTTACCAAGTTTTTCTAGCTTGCATTCTACAATGGAATTATTGACAGTGCCACGGAGTATGGAATTTTTATACACTTTATTGAAGTGGACATGCCTCCATTTCAATAACGATGGTAGTTCAAAGTCATGGAATATTAAAAATGCCGATTTTTAACAAAGATCACATTCGTTAAAAAGTAGTAAGAATTTTATTGCATGTAATTTATTTCACATAATTTATTACTCGAAATGGGACTTCTTCAATGATGGCGAGGAGTCGGAGACAAAACACTGTATTTTGATATGTAGGGTCTATTTATGGCAAAGAATATCACCCTTTACGATACGTTTGAGGTGTTGGCCCATTTAATGTTTTTCATAATCAAACTATAATTGTGCAACTGAATCCGACAATATGTTGTGAAAACTTTTTTACTAGCGATAAATAGTTCCATTTACCATGTACAAGTTTGAAACTGGCATCCTTTTTGAATTGGTCAGTGTTTTCAAACTTAGATATTTTCACTTGATAGCCCTGATGCCTGATGTATTGGCCACGGTAGTTAACTGACTCAAAGGTTAAGTATCCAACAAACCACTGATTCTTTTGTATTCTGTTAAGAATAAATATAAAATAAATTAATGAATATAGAATAAATAACAGTTTATTATAGTTTGCGTCACACTTAGTAACTATCTACCACACATTGTACACTGTGGTTTTCCAAGGGAGAAATGAAATGAAACCACTGTATCCGGATGTGACTGAATACAGATGTTTTATGTTGTGACCCATCCTCCGAGCACGGGGCCCAGAATTTGTCCTTCTTCCATGGAAGAAGGAAGAAGGAAGGAACTTATTGGATGATGTTTTGAACCATGCGTTCTGAGAATGATTGTGACCTAACATTGATCGAATTAAATTTATAAGGACCAGTATGAGCCACAAAGATGGGATTGTTATACCAGGGAACAGCAATACTTCACTTAATATCTAATGAATAAATGGTAGAAAGTAAGAGCATCTCAGAAACCTGAAAGTCGAGTCGAGTGCAAATATTTTCGAATTCCTCTTTTCGGGATGTTCCAAATGAAGATTTGACTTAAGATGTCTGAGATAGTCGCCTTCCTCGCTGTGTGACTCAAATGAGACCGTCTCATTTTCGGATGTGAGGCCCGGTTGCACCATGTCAAACCTATGTCCCCCTCCTTTGACGATGTACAATTCTTTGTTAGCGTTGATGCCCCATTCGTGTGTCGGGTAGTTGAGAGATTGAAGATAGTATGGTCCAGTGACTGTAAGAATATGAAACATTATAGTATATAACAGTCAATTTGAGAATACATGGATCAGCAATTACCTAATTGACATGTTATGGCGTGGTTCAAAATCCAATTGAAGTAACAGAAAAGTGTCACAATTGTCTATCAATTTGGTAGTCCTACTATTCAAACTCATTTTCTAAAACTTTTTGACCATCAAATATCACCGATGCTCGATCTTTATATACCTTAACAACACAAACCCTCCCCTCGAAAAGTAATGAAAGCAAACTCTTGTTAATGTTAATACCTACCTATGTTTGGGGATTAACATAAATTTACCATCTTTTCGTTTTTCTAATTCAATTGAGGAAAATGATTCAAGCTTAGACCATCCAATGAGAGAAAAGTGCTAGATACGATACCTCTGTGACAATCCTCATGTGCGATGGTCTTGTAAAACCTCCAGCTAGCATGTGCATTGTAATAAGCGCCAATTCCTATGTTATTTACGTTCCAAATGTTTGATGTATCCGTCCATTGTAGAATCTGATTGAGCCCAACGCACAGCCCGGTTCCTGCAGCGATGGTCAACGTTCGACGCCCCTTTGTCCAGCTCACCCAAAACGGTTGATACTCATCACAGTCAACGATACCGGGTGTATTTATTTGTAGTTTTCTCGGCCATGTTCCCTTCCCTTTATTGATGAATGAATATGTGTTGCCTCCACCCCCGAAGTGCACCTGATATAGAAAAACGCATTTCATCAAATTGCGTACGCTCATGTGGTAGGGGCTCGATGGGGCATTGCAGTAAGTGGGATTTTGTGCGTAATGACGTTGGGCTTAATACCATTGATGCAACTATTTTTTTCTTTGTCTATTTCTACATGTAAAATAAATGAAATATACGTGTGTTAACTGGTAACAGAGTATTGGGCAATAAAATACTGGAAAAAATATTTAACAGATTTTAATCTAAAGATTTTACCTGATACAAAAGCGTGTAATTCCTTGTAGGCTGTGGGCCCATATAGACAGAGGCTCCTTTGCATGTCTTCAATTCAAACCGTACATAATTCTGTCCTTTCAGGTCATTCGTATTTAGTACATAATGAACTTTGTCGTTGTTAGGAGTCACAACATCAATATGCTCATTTCCTAGAGGAAAATGAAATAAGTTTCTTACCAAAATGAAAGCATTATAAACAATAGATGTGGTAACTATAACAACAATCTCACAAATAATTCGTGCATGAATGTATCATTCATCTCATTGTAGTGTATGTTATCGCTGATAATAACTCAATTATGGTGAAAAATCTCGTTTTGAAGGAAATCATACTTGTATATTTTCTTTCTTTCTATTTTTTACATGAATTAACATTCATAAAAGTCGCATTCAAAGGCAATGCATGAAGGCATCACCTTGATATGTATCCCAAAGGCCTTCGATCCTTTCATCGTCCAGTCTCTTATCCCAAAAGATCAGTTCATCAATGACAGCTTGACCATACTTTGTCTGGGCATTATTTGGGCGTCCCATTGTGATGTCATTCCATTTTGTAGTTTGGACATTACGTGCCGTCGCTAAAATCGAACAATGATATAAACTTGAATCATTTCAGAAAGTTATCTTGTGACACTCCTGAAAGACATTGGAATGATGTTTCAGTGAGTAATATCACAAAAGCTGTGCGTGATAACGTGTAGTCCCTATCATGAGACGAATCATTTCAGAAAGTTATCTTGTGATACTCCTGAAAGACATTGGAATGATGTTTCAGTGAGTAATATCACAAAAGCTGTGCGTGATAACGTGTTGTCCCTATCATGAGACGAATCATTTCAGAAAGTTATCTTGTGATACTCCTGAAAGACATTGGAATGATGTTTCAGTGAGTAATATCACAAAAGCTGTGCGTGATAACGTGTTGTCCCTATCATGAGACGAATCATTTCAGAAAGTTATCTTGTGATACTCCTGAAAGACATTGGAATGATGTTTCAGTGAGTAATATCACAAAAGCTGTGCGTGATAACGTGTAGTCCCTATCATGAGACGAATCATTTCAGAAAGTTATCTTGTGACACTCCTGAAAGACATTGGAATGATGTTTCAGTGAGTAATATCACAAAAGCTGTGCGTGATAACGTGTAGTCCCTATCATGAGACGAATCATTTCAGAAAGTTATCTTGTGATACTCCTGAAAGACATTGGAATGATGTTTCAGTGAGTAATATCACAAAAGCTGTGATAACGTGTTGTCCCTATCATGAGACGCAAGCTGATATCCCAAAATCATTCATCAATTTTCGCTAGGACATCGATCGATGCACCGCAACCAAAGAAGTCTAAATCACGAAGATGGCCGAAGATGCTTAAGGAACCAATCAAATTACTTGAAGGGTCAAGGTTAGAACTTGGGCCATATTCGGTTTCGGTCCAAAAAGCGTTACCCATTTACATGTAAGTTCATTCATTGGGCAGTAAGCTTAGGTGCTGAATCCCTATTTCCCTAGCTAGACATTCTAAAACATCTAAATATAACAAGACATGAACAACAGTTCAGGACCTTAAACTAATGAGACGAAAAGCGTTTATTTAAGAGGTGGGACACATACGTTCTGCATCTTCAGCCACTTCATCTCCGTCCACCCATAGATGGAGCTCATTATCCCGGTTCCACGTGAGTACCACGTGATGCCATTGGCCTTTCATCTGTCCGTCATATTTCACCGTCCAAATCTTGGTCCTCGTGCTAAACCTGACATCGAGCTTCCCTTTCAGCCAATGGAGGGTTATTCCATACGATGATCTTGTCTGTCCCCCACTGGAGAAATAATACATCTCAGGGGCGTTCTTTGGTCCAACCTTTAGCCACATGGACAGCGTATAACCATGTGGACACATTTCCAAATTCCCTGAAAACATACAAGAATTACATCACTGGACGCTGGATCTGCGTTATCTGGCATTTTAATAGGGAGTTTAAGCTTGCATATAAAATCGAAACGCCGAGCTTTACGTATGACCAATCGCCCATACAAATGTATCGCTTAAATATTTTCCGTTCACGTTTAGGTTGTGAAAAACATTGCAAGCTTAAACTCCCTATTCTCCCATTCAACGTACAAATGGCGAAAATGAAACTTTAACATATTGTCAAAACAATAGAATGTCATAACTACCAAAACATTCGTCTCTATGTTGTCCGAGATCTATCCATTGATTCCTGCCATCTAAGTTTATCCCTTGGCCGATCTTTCCCTCTATCAAACTGGCGTTGTTGTAAACTCTACCATTGAGTCCCGAGCCGACCAAAGTGTCTCCTCGTCTCTCTTCCATAGGCATGTAGTATATGTGGTCTGCAAAGGATAGCATACTAGATGCATGTCTTAAAATTATCAGGTTACAATCTATATTGTATGACACACAAATAGGACACATAGGCCTAAAAGCTATATGTGTACAATTTAAGCCTAAAATCTATACACGTACCCCTCCGTACGTGGACATGTGTGCTTCCACTGGGCTAGAACCGTTTATCATTAACAAGACTCGTGCGCACTTGTCTGAGTGGGTAATAATGAATGTCTTTGATTGTTCAAGAATGTATCTGAATGGTCCAGTCCCTGAGTAACATACCTGCATACATGTTATAAAGGCGTTCGGCAAACTCAAATCCATGATGGTCATTCCAGAACATTAGCTCATCAATGATTACCTCACCAAAGTTGGACATTGCATTGTTTGGCCTCCCGAGGAAGATGTCGTTGTAGAGCTGGGGCGGGGCGGCCCGATTGTCCGCTGGAAGTGAAAGAACTGGATGTTCAATGCAACTTGGTGTTACTGATACGAATAGGGGGGGGGGGGGTATTCTAGTCATCTACTAGACAGCTGCGATACCCTACTTGCACTTACAATGAAACATGTGCAGCAAAACCTGTATATACGAGCACCTCTATAATCTATACACTGCTCAGTGTGACCCCTTTTTGCTGCTCACACTCTGCTTTATATTTTTTGTTAATTAACCTTGTAATGTGAACACTTGCCAATACCAACACCTTTGGCCTGCTCCAGGGGTGCTGGGATGAAACAGGTTTTACTATTGTTATAAGAACAAGTATAGTGAAACCTGTGAATTTGAACACCCCTAGTAGAGGTGGAACACTTTTGAGAATACCAATGCAAATTGACTTAATGCTAAATGAACCTGTATAAGTTGAATACAAGCGGCACACTTTTTATTGAGTTACCAAAGTTGTTCCACTTAGACAGGTTCTAGTGTAGGTATATAAAACTTATTCTCACGTTCTTCATCTTCATCAACTTCGACTCCATCAACGTAGAATTGCATCTCATTAAGGTCTTTATCCCAGGCAAGGATTAAATGGTGCCATATTCCCTTCACTGGTTCATCCCATGATGTCTTCCACCACTTTGTAGTGGTACTCATCCATGCAAGCAGCTTCCCGTTTTTCCAAAGTACAGTTATGCCGTGGGATTTTTCCGTTTGGCCTCCGCTTGAGAAGTAATACATATCCGATTTTGAGTCCTTGGAGCCAATTTTCATCCAAAACGATAGCGTTGCTCCGCCCTCCTCACACTTTTCTAGGTCACCTGAAATATAATTTGTAGAGATATGGTCATCAGTGTCCGCATCGACACATTTTATATGAATTTTATAAAGGGTACTCTTGTAATATTATTTCAGTAGTCTATAATGGTCTCGACTTGTTGGTCGACTTATTGGCCTTTTTAACACTACAGTTGTCAGGAATGCAACCACGCTATGATTTTGGACTGCTCCAGTGCTTTTCTCGGGGGAAATAGACCCATGTGTCATAAAATACTAAATAAATTCATGGACGTCTTTAATTTGATAAATCTAAATATTCATAACATCAACATTTTAGAACTTTTGATTTACATTATATACTTACCAAAACAATCTTGCCTGAGGTCCGCAAACGGATTAAATAAGTTAACATATTGGTTTATTCCATTCAACGAAATTCCTTTCCCCACTCTTCCCTTTACGGTTACTGGGTTGTTATAAACAGTCCCAGATAGACCAGCCCCTGGGATAGTATTCCCACGAACTTCCTCCATAGGCGCGTAATACGCCAGACTCTCCGAGAAGACATCGAAGAACGCTTCGATGAAGTCCCCATGCTTCCAAGAATCCCAAAAGAAGAGCTCATCAAATACTGCCTCGCCGTAATACCCAAGTATGTCGTTAGGTCTGCCAAGCACGACTTGGTGTTTAGGTTTCGGGGGACCTGGGCGGCCAGTTCCTAAATTAAAACATTTAACCAATTGATCAATACATGGAATAGCAGGTACAATCAGAATAGGAACACTAAAAACAAAAAGTCACAAGTTAATGAAAAGTAAACCCCAATATCCAAACCAATATTGTGTTCTCACAACAAAGAAGTACAGCAGAGACAAATTGACAGAGCACACAGCCCTCCCTACTGTTCTACAACAATTAAAGTACAAGTAATTCAAAACCACAAGCCATTGAAATCACAGCAGAGACAAACTGACAAAGCACACAGCCCTCCCTACTGTTCTTCAACAATTAAAGTACAAGTAATCCAAAACCACAAGCCATTCAAATCACAGCAGAGACAAATTGACAAAGCACACAGCCCTCCCTACTGTTCTTCAACAATTATAGTACAAGTAATTCAAAACCACAAGCCATTCAAATCACAGCAGAGACAAATTGACAAAGCACACAGCCCTCCCTACTGTTCTTCAACAATTAAAGTACAAGTAATCCAAAACCACAAGCCATTCAAATCACAGCAGAGACAAATTGACAAAGCGCACAGCCCTCCCTACTGTTCTTCAACAATTATAGTACAAGTAATTCAAAACCACAAGCCATTCAAATCACAGCAGAGACAAATTGACAAAGCACACAGCCCTCCCTACTGTTCTTCAACAATTATAGTACAAGTAATTCAAAACCACAAGCCATTCAAATCACAGCAGAGACAAATTGACAAAGCGCACAGCCCTCCCTACTGTCTTCAACAATAATAGAGTCCATTTCACTGCTTCATTTCGTCAGTAGAACGGCAAAAATAAGAAATTGGAGATTTTTTAGTTTTTTGTGCAATAAGCCTATGCCGCCTTGTAATTTGAAGAATTTCAGCCATGTTAATCTTATTGAAAATAACATGGCAGAGAAACATCCAAATATAAGAGGCCACACACTTTATAAGCCAAACTAGAAACAATGCAAGATATACAAATGTCATTCATGTACATTATGAATACACTTTTCCATATATTATTGCACAATGGTCTCCCAATTTCTTATTTTTGCCGTTCTACTGACGAAATGAAGCAGTGAAATGGACTTTCTAGTACAAGTAATTCAATACCACAATCCATTCAAATCACAGCAGAGACAAATTGACAAAGCACACAGCTGAAAGTTGAAATCATTCATTCAAAAGATAATTCCCGATTACTTTGACATAAAAATGTGTTACTTTATTGTTTCAAAATGTTGATACAATGTTATCACTGCCATTTGATAAGGTTTAGGTAATAGAAACCTCCCCGCACTGACATGCATGTTAACCTTTTTTCTTTAGTCTCTCTTGGGGTCATTTCAACTTTTATATACAATTCCATCTTAAAGCACTAGATAATAGCACAATCCACCCTCCGATAGCGGGGCTTTAAAATCCATTTTCATATTTTTCTTTGAAAGGAAGACGATATTTCGACTATTTAGGATTAATGATCCGAATTCTTTAAGGCTTACCTGTATGATCCTCCATCACCTCTTCCCCATTTATAAATAACTGGAGCCCCTCGTCTTTCCTCCATGTCAGTAGCACGTGTGTCCATTCATGCCGCGGTGGATTCATAAACCGCGTCTCCCACGTCCTAGTGGATGTACTCACCCATGCCCACAATACCCCATACTGAATAAATACTGTTGTTCCGTATGAATTCCCACTTTGGCCACCGCTTGAGAAATAATACATTTCTTCGGTATTTTTGGCGCCAAATTTTATCCACATGGCGAGTGTGTAACCCATGGGACACAAATTGAGGTCCCCGAAGCATTCATTTTCATGCGTCCCCAGATCAACCCATTGGTTGTTGCCATCGAGTGATAAACCATGCCCCACTTTGGAGTCTATAGCTTGAGGATTATTATATAGTGTTGCATTAATGTTGATGCCCTGTAGAAGGTTTCCCTGCGTGTCATCAAATGAGATATAGTAAACGGGATCGGACATCTTCATCGATATCGGGGAATAGAGTTTCTCGTACTCTCCTCCAACCATACCCACTGCAAGTAAAATAGAGGCTGTCAGAAAAATAAGAAGTAAAGGCTGAATTGAAAAACCAAGCTCCGAGGGAGCATGCCCTCTGGCTACGTCCTTCACAAGCTATTATTTTACAGGCCATGATAATTTGGCTCAAATTTTGTTCCATCTAAATCAACTAACTAGTCATTTTTAACAACATCAGGGTACTACTGGGCATTTTTCAAAATTTGGGCCGTAAGCGGAAATTTTTGGGTCCCCTTCCTTGTTTTCGTGGCCATCCCTGGTCTCTTGTTATTAACACCCCTGAGATCACAATGCGAAGTTGGTTAAGAATAAAAACATTTTTGTGTGTGGATGGGGGGAGGGGATTCAAGTCACCCCCCCAAACCTGTCTACGGTCATGAAGGTGTTTAACATGTTAATAGAATTAGCGAAACTTTAATTAATTAGCGATAAAAAGTGGAAAAATTAGCAAATTAAAATGACTCCCCGCACCAAGCTTACCAATCCAAATATCAAAGTTATGTACCCTGCGTGCAGAGTCTAGTTAAACTACTGAAGACGAAGCTCTCTTTTAAGAAGTGAAGTCAAACGATTGCAAAGGGTAAAGTTATGTAGCATCACATTTAAAATATGAAGATAGTCGAATGATTATAGACAATTTCTTCTCAGTACACAGGTACTTGACCTGTACTTTAAAATGGCAAATCTCAAGCGATGAAGGGCCATGATGTTAGTGTATGATAACAGTAGTCATATCATATGATTCTTTGGCCCTTTCTTTCTTATCATATATAAACTTTGCGAAAAAAACGAATATAAAGAAAACTTCTACACCTGGTTAACCAATCATTTTGATCGTTTTACTAGTAAATCAATTTTTACATATATAAGTTTGATATTTGATATCAAAGGCTAGTTGATGGTCCGTTGCCGATGGTGTGTTTTCGTTTACGTTATGTGCAGTGTTATGCCTGGGTCACATTTCCTCTGATTCATCGGCTGGCGCCCGGCCGATTGAGTATTTCAGTGTTTAAATCATACAATTTTAAACAAAATACTCAATCAAATATATTCACGATGCATCATTTAACATGCATTTGCAAATTTACAGAGGGTATTTGAAATCATTGAATTAAAAAATGATGTTTTTTACAAATCTCGAGGACATAGCCATGTGTTAATTGATCGTTCATATGATGGTCAATTCAAAAAGCAACTAGGCTGTACACGTGGAGGTCTACATATCCAGGTAAGAGCAAAAATATAATGAAAGATGCGATTTCTGAGCGTACCTGAGAATATAAATCATTAATTTTGAGTTTAGAACAAACTCAAAAGCACAACATTTCAATTTCGCGGGTAAGTGTTTTAGGTAAGCATTTTGATAATCAAAATTAAATTTTGCGAGGGATGTTTTTATATTTTGATGTTTGCGTTTACACCAATCTTAAATTTCCGGCTAATTCAAGTCTTATTTGATTTTACTCTCTATCCAATGAAGAAAGAAAATTAGTTTGTTTTGTAAAAGCATATCACATGTATCACGGAAGGCAGTGCAAGTTGAAATGTGCTAAACACGACATGTGCATGCTTGTAACGTTTTTCACAACCTAAACGTGAACGGAAAATATTTAAGCGATACATTTGTGTGGGCGATTGGTCATACGTATAGGTTGGCGTTTCGACTTTATATGCAAACTTAAACTCCCTTATAACGACATCAATGTACTAAAGAAAACACCAATACTCGTAAATGAAATGAGGTAAGCCAATAATTCAAGTTTTTCATAGGCCTTCTTAGAACATTGTAATAGCTTGTCAAAACACAATGCAAATAAATAAATAAAAAGGATGTATCAAAAAAGATAAGATTTTTAATGTGAAGTCCAGATTTGCGTGACAACGACAACCTGTCCATATGATGACTAGTATGTAAGCGCATGCGCAAGTGCCAACCGGAAAACATTAAAAATGGTTACAGAGCGAAAAAGAAAACATTTAAGAGCAGGCCTACACCAGTCAGAAGGAAATTAAACCCCAACTATCCCAAATCACAATCAAACGTGAAAAGAAACGGTCCCCTTCTCCCACCATTCAAGTACCAACATCACAATCCGAGACCATTACACCAAGGGAATTGACCCATTCATACTGAAATATGAAGTACTTGGCTGGCCTTCTGAGGTCGACAGAGGTTTCTAGACTCGCATCGCATCCACAAGTTGAAAAGCAAAGTGAAACGTAACTGGGTTCAATTCAGTTCAGTAGTTTAACTTAATTATGCTCATTTTCACTTACAAGTTATGAAAAATCTCAGGTTACAAGTCGCCTTCGTCACAGTAAATGAACATATAAACGTTTACACTTTGTAATAGAAATTGTATTTTTGATGGGCTTTTACTCCAAGATAAAAAGGGCAAAGAAACCAATGAATGATCGTAATTTTTTGAGTGAAATTATTATAAACTACAAACTCAAAAATATTTTGAGAAAATTAAATCTTGTTTTCACACATGCAAAGTATGCGTAATTGTAAGAACTTTGACGCCTGATAAACTTTAAATCCTTTCCACCATTTTCTATTTTCTAGACATGCAAGCAATCTTCATACCTTTAGAGATAGGTTTTTGAAAAGGCTGCAAAATATAAAATCATAACCTGAATTCTCACGGTAGAACTAGAATAGTATATTCATTTCAATAGAGCTCATTGTAGAATTATGTTTTGATGGTTTTAAAAACTAGAATACTCAATTGTTTTGCGTGATAAGTAAAATGTAGACGAATGGAACTGCCAAATGCATTTAGTACTATTCAATTTACTTAGATATTCATTCATTCATTCAACGGTAACATATTATGATTTAAAATATTGTAATAGAATAAAATATAAGTTGACACAGCAAAAGGACCAAAATGGAATAACAAGATATCCATTGTAAAATATAAAAAGTAAAGCCATCCCGGCGTAGTCGAAAATATAAATCATTGATTTTGATCCAAACACAAATCTTCAGCCGTGGAAACAAACTCAAAACATTTTCAGTTCACATGTAAGTGTTGTTGAAATAATGACACTTTTTAATTTCATGATTCATCAACAATTGCTCTTTTTCTTTCGATCGAAATCAGGAAATGGCGTCAAAACTGGCATTACATGCTGCAAAAATCATTGAAAGACCTTACAGCAACCGTAGTTTTTTGTCTCCACAAAATCAAAATTCACAGTACGGCTACCGTAGCAAATGTAACGGCTAAGGTATATGACCGTAGAATTTCCACGACAGCCGTAGAATTATTGGTCGTAGAAATAACAGACCACACGGTCGCCATATACGGTCGGCGAATTTGCTATCAAAGCGATCGCTTAAAAAGACGAGAGGACTCTACTCTTGTTTCTCGAAAATATACCTTACTAGTAGTTGATCATGATTCTTTTTGTTCTCTACGACAGAATGAAATTTGAAGAGTCATCCGGGGAATTCGTACATGGATTATGGCTTCTAACTAGATCACAGTCGTTACTAGTATTTTCCAGCATTGCCAGTGAGAGTGCAATAGTAGCTCAAAAGGGAACTATGTCAATGTTATTGTATTCATAGCCGTTGTCAGTCAGACAGGCATGAGGAAGACGAGACAACTTTATATGACTTCGCTTGTGTGTATATTGGTGTACCAAAATGCTTGGAAATTTTCAATTGAATTCGTTAACGTCACAAAATGAGAAATTATATTGATGATTAGAGTGTGCTACCCACGTTTAGATTTTCTGAAAAATAAAATGCTGACACTAGTTAGTCCAAAAAGTAGTGATTCTGCCTTCTCGTGAAATCGTTGAAAATTAAAAATTGAATTTTCAGGTCAACAACTCTGATTTGCGCAGTTATTTACCATTATTCAAAAAAAAAGTTTTCTGAAAAAGGCTGGGTAAAATCTCCATTGAACAATGTTGAAAAAGTGTATTTACTCTTATTAGAAACCTACCTTAATTTTAAATCATCACATTCCGCATGTCAATAAGTTCATATAGTTACATTCCAATGGTGTTTTAAGTTGATCCAAATGGAATTACTTGTTCGATTAAGAAATTAAGTGATTCTTGCTATATGTTTCCATGTATTCTGGCCCCACCAACACCCATGCTACCATCTATTTTCCCATTTGTACAGAAAATAGTGTATTTTAATAGCTTCTCAAAAGTTTGCAAATAAAAAACCTTAAAATGGCGCATCAACAGATGATAATGCCAAACAACTTTATCTATACTACCGATACTTGTTTAATTAGATGATACTTCATTTTCATTCTGAATACAAATGTATTCTAATTATCTTTTTGAATTCCAGTTCACGTTACCACGACAACCTATCAATATGATGAAGTACTTGGCTGTCCTTACTATTGTGGTATTCCTCATCGTCTTGTCTTCGGAGGATTCAAGCGCTTTCCAGACTCGCATGGCACAAGTTGAAAAGCGAGTGAAACGTGCACGCGGCGGCGGGTTTCACGCTCGCATTGCAAAAGTTGAAAATCGAGTGAAACGTAGCGGATTCCAGATTCGATATGCCAATCACGGGCTCCAAAAGCAGCAAGTTTAACGCAATCCTCTGTTTGCACAGTGACTGATATCCCGACCATACAACCCGGAAGACGTTCATGAACGACAAAATGAATAACCACCACACCACCAGCGTTGCAAAATTTAATACGAAGAGCAGCCGAGATGATAGAAACTATAACCATACATTTATATAACCTAACACCTAAACACTTTCTGCATATGAAACATTTCAAGATCTTGCCACACGTATATAACAAAGCGAATTTCTAACTGAACATGGCATGTTGATATGTAATGAATTGAATTAAGAAAAACTTAGCTACCTAATATATAGACTATGTAATGAATATGGATATTATATGTAATGAATTGAATTAAAAAAACTTAGCTACCTATAAACAGCAATCTAAAGAATTTAAAATGTGTAATCATATAATTAACCCGTTATTAATTCAGAGAAACAAATAATTTAATAAAACCAATCTGTGTTTTTCATATACATATATATTTGTAAAGTAATTACTTAACTGCAACGGGGGGAGGGTGGGGGGTGGTCATGAAACAAGATTGTAGACATTAATGTGGAGGTCGAGGCAATATAAACAAGACACAGAGTGAACAGAATCGCACCCTTGAATAGAATAGACAGTTTTCGGGACGGAAAATCCAAAATGGGCGCCTAAACATTTACCAAGAATGCCTCTAAACTAATCCGTTGTAGACTTTGATACCAAAAAACATCTCTAAAAATTTCAGATGAATCCATGAAATGATTTGGAAGCCTCGACAGAAAGATTTAAGGACGGAAAATTCAAAATGGCCACTACTGGTCAATCTTTTTCATTTTAGTAGCCGTTTTACTGATATCTTAATATCTTATTCAAAATTGAGAGCGAATGAGCATAACGGGTCTTTTAACTTTGTACATTTTAGACCACTCAAAATATATAACTTTTTTCATATCTTTACCGTCTTGGTAGATACAAAATAACACGTACCATTTAAAGTCATTGGATTATGAGCATAGTCAGATAGAAGTGATGATATCATCAACAATGAAAATTATGGTGATTCGAGTGAAAGCATGAATTCAATGTTTTAAAGAACGCGGGACACAGACGTTGACGTATAGTGCTGCGGGAATTATATCATATTAACAGGAATTTTTGTGATATACTTAATGTTATTATATGATCATCCGAAAGCTTACTCACTACCTCATCGGGTTTTACTCACGGTATAATCGGAATACTCAGGCGGTAGCATCGGGTCCTATCGTACTCGTGGTATAATCGGGTCTTTTATTTTCAACTTTCACTGGTGATTTCAATGATATGTAATGTATGGCAGTGAAATAAATTGATATATTTGCACCTATTGTATCGATCTTTGAACCAAATGGAGTAAATACAGCCATGGTTCTTACTTATTTAAGATGTAAAACATCATTCTAATATTTAAAAGTTGAATTTAGCGATTTGATAGTAAATATTGCATAAAGTACTCATTATTCTGCAAACATGAGTGCCTAGAACAACAACTATATCGGTTACAAACAATTCTGTGTTTTATCTATTTCTTATATTGAGAAATTCAATATATAATTATAAACAGGAGTTTATTAACTTATCCCCTACATTTTCAGACATCTTCGGGTCTTTGCTCGGCGGTAGGTTGTATATACGCGGGTAGACTTTCCTCCGTGGATTTCGTTCGAGAGCTAGTAATGCTCTACATGTCTTCCTCATAAGTGTTCATCATACTTCGCGCATGCTCAGGAGAAAATCATCAACCAAACATGTTTATAAAACAATTTTGCGCTTGCGCTGGTATGAAGCCTTGGAGACACTAATTTTGGTAAATATGATTTACGGTGTATACTTTTCTGCAGTTTGTGGGAGTTTGGGACATTAAATGTTGAAATTCAAGAAGTAGGCATATGTCTGAGTTAATGGTTTAATGATAAATGTGAACCTTGAATGCGTAATGCTTTATGCCTGGGCCACATTTGCTCCGATCCATCCGCCCGGCCGATTGAGTGTTTTGCTCAATATTGTATTCAATTTTGAATAAAATACTCAATCGGCCGGGCGCCGCAGTGAAAATCGGAGCAAATGAGACCAAGGCATTTTGTATGCGTGAAACAAATACTCTAATGGCCTAATCTCAATTTGCCTGCATTCAATATAACATTGGAATGATGGTTATCTGCATAATAAATTATGAACCACACGTCTAACTTCGACACAATTCAATAAAGTATTCAGTATCGCTATAATCGCCACATGCCAGTGTGATTTAATACAAAATGATGAATGTGCTCTTTATTACGTGCATGCGCAAACCGCCAACTAAGCATTGTCTAACGAAGCTACCTGTTACATTGGCAAAAAAGCTTCGTTGGGATCTAACCTCCGTTGAATTTTCTACTCAATTGCTTCGTTATCAACTAAGCTTTTCTAACGAAGGTGGAGGTGTTACACTGGCCCAAAATTGCTCTTACGAAGCTTTTTGTCAAAATGCTTCGTGGCAAGCATTTCAAAATGGACATACAGTGCTTTTAAAAGGTCAGACACGTGCAGTAATGTAGGGTCATTCTCTCCAATAAGTAACCCAACCAATAAGAAGTAACAGCGAAAATTAGAAAACTAAAATTGACGCGATGAATACAATTCTTAGTCGAGCTGCAAGCTCAAAATAGCGACATATCCAGTTCACGGGTAAGTGTTGTTAACACATCAATAGCAATTAGATAATTATATTTGGTTTTTAGGGATATATATATATTTTTACGTTTGAATATGTCAGCCTTATCTTTAATGGATCTTGAATTTTTATAACATTTGATACTTATAAATCAAAAGTTACTTATTGACAGGTTTCTGGCAGCCTATTTGAATTTTATCATTTTTCAAATCAATTTTTTTTATTAAAATTATTTATTCAAAAACATAAACGCAAAGTACATAAACACAAACAATACTTGAATAAATAAAACTATACAAAAATATACATTATATCCTGGATTAGAATTTATACAATAGTAAAATAGGATTTACACAGCATTATATAATCTATCAAAATTTGGGTCATTATACAATAGTATCAATTTTATCTATTTAATTTCACACTCTATCCGATGCTAGGGTGGAAGGAAGATTTTTTTTTATTGGGAAAAAACTATTTCAGCCTAACGCAATGATTTCGTGATCTGTGAAATATCCACCACGGCAGGTAATACAAATTGAATAAACTACGGCTTTTCCCGGGAGCCTATTATTTTAAAAAGTGCTTTGTCTCTTATAGGGCTTTCTATAAAAAACCTCCTACCTCATACCCATCTACCCACCTACGTGGAACATGATACAGTCATTGAAGGGTTCAATTTTAAAGATTATTAAATCTCAAAATAGCTCAAATTATTAACATTTCTACAATTCCGGCTTTATTTTATGACTAGACAGATGACATGTCCATAAATAAAGACATATGGATGCATTTTAATTTGTAATGAGGAGGGCACCCCAGGGGAATAAATAACTAACGACCGCGAGCATAGGTCCAACAAGACAGATAAAGTGATATTATTGTGTTAAATGTTCATTTGTACTCGTAAAATGAGGCTACACTTACCAATCTCTAAAATCTTCCCATTTTGGAATTTAGCGCATATTCATACACGTGCAGCTGTTAAAAGGCACAGAAGATGTGGGAAATAATTAACAAATTATATATAGCATCTAAAGATGTTCTAAAGGAGGTGGTGGTTTGTGGAAGTGTTGATATACTTATCAAACTAATAAGGTGATCTAAGTTTGCTTCAAATCTACCAATTCTCCGCTCAGGTGAACATTGCTTCATACTGTTTGCGGGCCAATACCTGCAGGTACTGGTATGGGTCCGATGGATAATATGCTGGTAAACATATTAAAGGGAAGAAAGAAATAAGTTAAATAGAATTAATGTTAATTATTTTGGAAGCTTGTTAATTGCATAGATAAGTATAATACACCAAGGTTGTGCACTGCACATTATTGAACTTGTTGGGCGGCATACATGTTGGATTGTAAGTGAACGAGGCTAGGAAGCTGTTACAGTGCTGATATATAATAATACAGGGTGCGTTTTCAAATTAAACAGAGTGCTCCTACCAAAATGAATTTGCCTACATACCCCTGAAACTTTTATCTGATAGATAGAATGCACAAATAAAACAAAAGTTTTGCTATTATAGGTAAAAAGTTCTCTTGAAATTTCGAAGTGATTTTACCTGTTAATTCTGTCCATTGTCCGCCATTTTTGCGGAAGTTACACTGAAATGCAAACTCCAAGAAACGAAATGAAATCACTAGAAAAAAACATGGCACACATTGTGCGCATGTGCAGCAAACTTTAGACCAATCAGATTACTTAATTATTTTGCGCACGTGAATTATTTGCTTCTGAGCACTTACAAGCTTACAACAATAAACAAACCTGGCAGAGACTACCCTTAGCCTACTTCATTTTGGCGAAATTTCAGCTCAAACTCGTGACAGATGCATTATGCATACGCTGGTGTGAAGCCTTGGAGACACTCAATTTGGTAAATATGATTTATGGGGTATACTTTTCTGCAGTTTGTGGGAGTTTAGGACATTAAATGTTAAAATTCAAGAAAATATGCCAATTAAACGACTGATCAATTAATATATACCAGCACTGTAGTTCAGGTAAGTTTTTGTTTACATTTTGCAAAGTGTATTTCACCTAGGATGAATCCTGGATATTGCCAATGTGACAATATTCATGAAGATCGTCAACGTAACAAAAGCGAGGGACTAAATATGTGAATTGCGTCTTTGATAATATACCAAACATAGAACCGCCTGCATATTCTCAAACTATACTATCTTCCTTAAAGGAATATTCCTTGCCAAACCATCTCTCTCCTCATATGGTAGCTATAACCATATACGAGTATATGCTTACCATGTTTAGCAAAACACGCAAAAATGTTTTGATATGGTCAAATTTGATCACTTAGAAATGTGATGCTCAATTCCAGTAAGCTGCCATCTTTTAAAATTTCACACAGGAAGTGATGTCATCGACTCTCAACTTTGCATATAGCATTAGGTGAGGAGCTATTAAGAATTACAAAACCAGCTAAACATTCTTTTTCAACTTTGTATCTTATTTAATCCTTCTGTAAATCTCTTCTTTGTTTCAAAGCTGACAAGCCCTGAAAATATTTTTGCACAGAAAGTAATGATCACTTGTCTAGAAGTGATTTTGTGCTACTTTCCTATACTGTTATGGGCAAGGTTATAGAAGTTGAGAGTTGATGACATCACTTCCTGCAAGAAATCTTAAAAGATGGCAGCTCACTGGAAATAAGCACTAGATTTTTAAATGATCAATATTGACCATATTAAAACATTTTCCCATGTTTTGCTAAATATGGAAACTATATATATGATTATAGCTACCATATCAA